TAAGTCTGTCTGCAAAACTTAGTTTTGTTTGTAACCACTGGTAATATTAGCATGCCTATGGTAAGGTAACTTATCAATGGTTACCAATTGTGTCTGACAAGTCTTCTGCTAAAGGTGGTGTTGGTAGTTTTCACTCTGGATTATGGCAGTAAGCCACATTAAATTTACCAGAGCATGGTTAAACCACGGCAGCATTCATGGGCAGGCTGTTCAGCAGTTTACCAGTACTAGTTGCCTTCACTTTTGCAAGGAACTGATAACTTCTGAACATGCAAGTGCAGCAGAAGTACAGTGCAAATGACCATAGAAAAGATTTCATGATCAATCACAACTGCAGGCTGGCCTATAAATAGCTGTTTTACTGATTATAACATTACTGCTGTTAGCGGTCACAAAATTTAAATGATAAACTTGTTTTTAAAAAGATGAAAAAGTTAACTACATGTATTACTTACCCTATCTAAAAAGCAACACCCATTTATTTTTAAAGGGATTCCACTGAGGTTTAAAAGCCGAAAACATAACATTTGAATTTCTTACATAAATGAGCTGGGGCAGTTTAAACAGAAATATTTGCAAAGATAGTTAAGAAATATACTTTGAATTAAATTGAAAATCGTATTTTTATGCTTTTCTTAGCCCGATTTGAGTGAAAAGCGTTTAAACGCTTTTCATTTTGGGTCATTTTTTACAATATGAATAATTAATCTGGAAAAACGAAGTGCGCGAATGATCTGAAATTTTGCACAAAGATTAGTGGTCTAAACCTACATCAAATGGTGCATTTATCTGGAAAAATTATTTTCAGTCCTGTCATGTTAAAAAACCTCAGTGGAGTCCCTTTAAACCCAAGATCATACAATGCAAAGTATCTGACAGATTGCTTAAAGAAATTAATTTGAAATTATATGAAATAATATATACCATATAATTTATGGATTATATAACTATTGCATATCATATTTTGCTGTTATATCATCTCACATAGATTTTATCATACCAGGTCAATAAGTTTTCAGTATAGATGAGATACATGTACATCTTATCACATTTTTTTTTACATATGTTTTTGTCCTATCATATCACATAGTGTTTTATTTTATATAATAATTATAGTGTTTGTCTGATCATATAACATAAGTTTTTGTCCTATCATATCACATAGTGTTTTATCTTATATAACAAAGGTGTAATCTTATATCACATAGGTGTAATCTTCTTTCACATAATTATGTTTATCATATACATGTATCACATAGGTTTTATCTTCACATAGGTTTTATCTTATATCACATAGTTTATATCAAATCATACAACATTGTGTTCTATCATATGAGAATGTTTTGTCCTATCATATCACATAGTTTTGGTATATCATATCACAATGTTTTTGCTATATCATTTAGTTTTTGCAATATATAATATCACATTGTGTTTGTCCTATCATATCACATAGAATTTGTCATATCACACTGATCTTGTTATATTATACCCTATAGTGATTGATTCATCATATCACATAGTTAATTACATTGCAAACAAGTAATAGCATGCGATAAATATTGATATTGTATGCCCTTTGCATGTTGTTGTTTTTTGTATGGATTTTTTGGCACGAAAATATGGTAAAATGTTGTATGGTTTTATTGTTAAATGTTGTGTAGCTTTATTTTGAATATTTAGTTCAGATTTATGTGTTGAAACCACTTTCAGAGCAAACTGTCCTGGTCTTCCTAGAAGGGGTGGAACCTCTGTACAGGTAAAATTTAACCAATTACTTCATGAGCATTTTGTGAAAAATGGCTGTTTTCATTGAAAAGTCTCAAGTTACAAGTTCAAATTGCTATAATACTATAAAAACTGCTTCAACACTAATCAAACTTGGCACAAATGTTGACTGGACCATTGCCCTTGCAACAACATGCCTCTCACAAGTCCAAAATTTTCTTGGCGATGAGGGGGACTCTGCCCCCCTTCAAACCCCCCAAACAGAAGGGGGCACATCCCCCTTCTGGCAACCCCCTGATGTATCTTTTGGTTGGGGGGCCGCGCTGAAAAAGAGGTCACTATTTTTAACAACATTTCTCATACAAAAACAAGTGTTTGGGGCCTAAATAAGGCATTTTTTCATCATTTGAGACAACAAAAAGGGGGGGGGGGGGTGAAAAAGGCGTTAAAAGGCGTGTATATGAAGTTAAAATGGGTTAACAGAAAATGATGAAAATACTTGAAATTACCCTAAATCGCGTTTTTTCATGTTTAAACATGGCCTGTCATATAAATTTGAAGAAAAATTGTTGTTTTGTAGATTTTTTGATTTTTTTCATTAATAAGTGTATCAATTTTATGTACATTATGATTGCAAGCATAGTGGTTAATAATACAGTCCTTAAAAATTTAAAACTTAAACCAGTACATCCATGTTTGAGGCTGACAGAAATGTTGCGTTCTCAATAACAGACACAAGATTTTGATTGTGAATGCCACAGTGGTTTGCCGGGCCGTCACATGAATATAAATCATTTCTTCTATATTCCCTAACTCCTACATCTTTCACCGGATTTCAATCAACCTTTCATATAAGGGAGAACTCTTAGGTCCACAAGGCTTCAGACACATCTGAAGTGACTAACCTATTTATGTTGGTGGCAAACCTAGTTTGGTGAAAACAATTTCTGTTGCTTGCCAATTTTGTTTATCATTTTTATTATTGCTCTCTACAGTGGTCTCCCTTTCCTAGAATTTTTTGGTGTGTAGCTTTTGAATTTTCTTTGGCATAGAATTAAAATTTCTCATTATTAGGACTTGGTCTGGAAAATTCAAATGTAGAATTATAGGGCCATTCCCTCTTGAATGGTGTGGTTTTTCTGTGTAAAGTTCTCACCAATATGCCATTATTAAAGTGTGGGTAGACATAAGATAAATGAATGGAGGGAGAACATATTCTTTTTGTAACTACTTTAATATGCAGTGTAACTTGTATGTATCCGGCCATAGGATACAAGTATCAATGGGTTGGTCTTTAACAACAGGTTTAACTCTTACAGGAATTTTTTTTATGATAAAGTTCGAGTTAATATTTCTTTACTTTATTAGAATCAACATGTATAACAATTTTGGTATGTGATGACATAATAAGCTAACATACATTTTAACATATGCATGTAATATTATCTGAGTGAGGATTACAAATCTGATGCTTACCCAATTGACATAACATAGATTGTTCAATGTACTTATATAACACCTTTGTTAACCAGGTTTTCAATTTTGAAAATCCTGGTTATTAGATTGGGGTATGGCGGGCGGATGGGCGGATGGGCGGATGGGCGGCTGGGCGGATGGGCGGGCGGGCGTCAAACGAAATTGTGTCCGCTCTGTAACTTTTCAACCCTTTGAAGAATTTTGATGAAACTTCAGACAAATGTTTACCACATCAAGATGACGTGCAGAACGCATGTTCCGCATGGCTGGCTCCAAGGTCAAGGTCACAGTGACATTAACATTGAAAATCCTGTCCGCTCTGTAACTCTTCAACCCTTTGAAGAATTTTGATGAAACTTCAGACAAATGTTTACCACATCAAGATGACGTGCAGAACGCATGTTCCGCATGGCTGGCTCCAAGGTCAAGGTCACAGTGACATTGGGCGGATGGGCGGGCGGGCGTCAAACGAAATTGTGTCCGCTCTGTAGCTCTTCAACCCTTTGAAGAATTTTGATGAAACTTCAGACAAATGTTTACCACATCAAGATGACGTGCAGAACGCATGTTCTGCATGGCTGGCTCCAAGGTCAAGGTCACAGTGACATTAACATTGAAAATCCTGTCCGCTCTGTAACTCTTCAACCCTTTGAAGAATTTTGATGAAACTTCAGACAAATGTTTACCACATCAAGATGACGTGCAGAACGCATGTTCCGCATGGCTGGCTCCAAGGTCAAGGTCACAGTGACATTAACATTGAAAATCCTGTCCGCTCTGTAACTCTTCAACCCTTTGAAGAATTTTGATGAAACTTCAGACAAATGTTTACCACATCAAGATGACGTGCAGAACGCATGTTCCGCATGGCTGGCTCCAAGGTCAAGGTCACAGTGACATTAACATTGAAAATCCTGTTTACATGATTTTAACTTGATTTGGCAGTCAAAGGTCATATCATCTTTGGAGGTAATTTAAAAAAGATATGATATATTTTTTCATGTCTACTTTGTAACTTGTTTTTCATTATACAGAATTATCAATATAATTATAGTGAACAAATTCTTCTGTGCTGAACTCGTCCTACATTTCTCAACGGATTTTGTTCAAACTTTCACAGAAGCTTTGTCATCAAGCACCCTGGCACATATTGTCGGGGTTTTGTGATTGGATAGTTTTTGACCTAATTATGGCCCTTTGTTTTTTTCCTTATACATAATATTATAGTGAACACTTCTTCAGTGGCAATTCCTCCTACATTATTCATGTTTTACATTGCACATAGTTACATTGTTTGTTGCTTGTATTTGTATTTCAAATACAACATATTTATCTACAATGGTGATAATTGAAAACCTGGTTTCATGGCATTGCCATGTTTCTTGTTTAATTTTTTCTTGTGTAGTTACAATTTCGTCCTTCAATATAAACTATTAAGAATGCATGGTTTGTAAGAAATTTTCAAGAGGCAAACATAAAATATGTATCATGGAAGAAGAGCAAACAAATATTAATGTTTCATATTAAATTATTATTTAAAATCCCAGGTATATAAAAACAAAACTTTCAATCTTACTTTACATTTGTTTCTTTAACTTGTTCAATTTTCAAATTTTTGCACAATCAGAAACACTAAATTCATAATTGAATAGTTTTCTAGAATTTTTTTTAGATAATACTGATTATCTTAATTTTTAAAGACTCTGAAATAATATTTACATTTTGTTGTCCATATTTTTGACATTTTATCCAAAAAAAAGTTTTAGAAAGTTTCATTTTAATTTTTTATTTAAACAGGAATATCACAGATTCATTCGTAACAGAGTAGAAATGTTCGGCAAGTCACATCCTTGGTTCTTACTCGGTTTGGATCGAGGAAAGCGTCGACTGCCCTCTGTAGAAAGTAGTTCCTCCACTGAAGAAACGGAGAGTGGAAAGAGGCGATTGTCTTCCATAGAAAGTGCTGCATCATTATCTGAAGAGATAGAGAAGAAAAAAGTTAAAAGGTAAGAAAATTTTTCAAAAATTGATAAATTTGCAGATGTAAATTGTTGATAAGTAGCTATTTTATTAACCGGTTTTGAACGTTGAGACATTTCACCTTTTGGAGCTGAGTGGAAATTCCAAGAGCCAAACAATTTTGTTTAAGTTGCACTGAGATCGGAACATTTTATCAAATAAATTGATGTTGTTTAAATGTTGAACCGACATTGAAACTGGAATGGCAACATTGTATTTATGTTGAAACAATCTTGAAACCAAGTTGTGACAACCATTGAAACTATAGTTTGTGCCATCTGGTTTAAAACTTATGCTGTAACTTATTACATTGATGTGAAGTAGCAATACTGGGGATCTCTGTTTATATTCTCATATTAATGACAATAAATACTACACCAACTGCATGTATAGTTGGTGATTGCACCTATAAACCTCAGATTTATAGTCACAATGATGCATGCAACAAAGAATAGCTTTAACATTTCAATAAAAACAAACAGTCACTATATTAATTACAAAAGTCACGTTTAAACATGAAAAGAACGCACTAGTTTTTCTAAATTCTTTTTTCGAGTAACATTCTTTAATGAAACCATTTAGGTAGAACCTGAAGGGGACCCTTTTGAGAAATGGAGAAACCGTTTCAAACATAATGTATGGGTATAAACAGTTATGTTACCATAAATGGATTAATTTAGGACATTTTGGGGTGAATATACGAGGTGGCTGTTCACGACCCCTGTTGTTTTATAGTGCTAACAAGGCATTCTGTACGATATCAAGTTTATACGGCTTCGTCCAGGCTCACTTTTTCTTGTCACTCTATAATATTAAAGGAGAATAAAAAAAAATCACTTTTCATGATTTTCTGAAGGTTTTTCATTGGTTTGCGGTAAAAACGGATTTATTAGTTTTTCAACACCATGTGGCAGAATTTGCTTTTAGAAAACACTTTTACTTGAATAGCTCAGATTACGCCGCTAAAAAGATTGTCCATGGTGGTAGCCATTGGATGTTGGCAGGGACTCTGATAGTCTGTTATTTGATGTTATAATTTTTACGAGCTTATAATTTCATACAACTTTGATTATCCCCCATACCTGACAGATTTCAGACCTCATAAATATTACATTTGAAATATGGGCGATTTTATGATTTCATCTGGTCTCTAAACGGATGCTGTATTACCAGCGACCACCCGAGGGGATCTTGATATTTTAACAAATTTTTTATTTAAATTATAAAAAAAAACATGGTTACAATAATTATTTATGATTTTTTTCTTTGTCGAAAGCCTAGAATTTTCTATGGTTATATCTATTGTGAACTGTATGTTTTATTTAAAATCAGTCATTGCGTAATTTTTAAGTATGCTGTTAAAAATCGGCATTTAAATTATTTTATTACTTTAATGATACCTAATGACAATGCCTGCATCACATTTTGCCGATTTATTTATTCTAAAGTTGATGAAAAGCATTTGGCAGTCGTGATTTAAAGCAGTTTAAGTATGGTTTAACGGTTTAATAGCTGCGATGTAAAACTAAATGAAAGTTGAAAAGTTTTCCGGATGGGGGAAAAATTGTATTTCAAACACGTTTTTTAGGATGATACCCGCAGAGTTTGTCGCAACTTTTACATCATCGTTTATTCTTTTATGTCGTAATGTTTATGAAACGTAATTATTGGCAGAGATTAATAGAGCGCATGGTGTCTAGTATGATAACACAGTTCCCACAAGTCATTTTGATTGTTTGTCGTGTAAAACTTAAAATTAATACGGGATTGCCTTTAGCAAACGACACGTGTACGATGGTGTTAAATGTCTCACTATTTCATTGTGCACAAACACTTTCGTGATTTTATGGCCTAATAACGTGTTGCAAATTAACAAAATACCTGCATCAAAAGCTGTCATTTTATACTAGAAGGTAAAAAGGTGACTTTGATAATGGGTTGTGAGTAGGACATCAAGATAAAAAATTAGTGAGGGACAGGAAATTGGAGATTTAGTTGCCGCGGCTCAAGGCTCGTGTTCTTCACCCTCATTACCAATTCCAACAATTGTTATAATTACAAAATATCATTTTTCTGTGTTCATTTTGCAACTAAATTTCATTATTAAATTCTGTATCTTAGAGATTCGTTAAACTAGAATATTCATGACAGTTTGGAACAGAAAAAAATGCATCAGTTCAATGAGGGCAAAAAAGTTTCTATTTCTCATATAACGCCCTTTTTGAAAAAAAACACAAACATCCATTGACGTATTGAATTTCTAATTTCAATCCGGAAGTTCCAATGATTGGAATAAAAGATAAACATGCAAGTTCAAATTTTTTTTTGGGGGGGGGGGGGGGGGGTTATTGTATTTTGTTTGTACATTTATTTTTTCATAATAAAGGAGGCAAAAAAATCTTACTTACCTGTACTGGGTATTTTAAAATTTCAATATCTTTGTTCCGTTGATTAACACAACTTAATTAAGTCATGGTTATGATGAAAATACACCCTGACCTTAATGTCCTTAAATTATTAAACAAAATAATCTTATAAATCAGAAGGTGGAGTAGCTACAATAGCTCTGCTGGAGTGCGAATTAATTTTTATTTGCTACTTGATTCTTATTTGAAAACATTATTGTCTTTTCAGTTCACTGAAAACTAGACGGAATTATTTTCTTATTACATGTTTTACGCAAACACTTGATTTTGATTGATTTTTTTAGAGATTTTTTGTCGTTTTTGCCGATTAAATTATATTTGTAAAAGGGGTAACTGTGTAGCAAATTGTCCTTTTTATTTGAAAACAAGATTTGATGTCTTCTTTCATCACAAATTGAAAGAAAAAAAAAGAAAAAGGAAAGAGGAGTCGTGACTCTTTTGATAGGTAATAGAAAAATTGCTGCTTCGTTAGATAGGTCGTGATTTTGGTCGCGTGACCCCGATACCCAATGGCAAGCTGCAACAAAATTTAACTGCAAATGTCCACTCTGATCTCTTTTGTCATGTGACAAGAAACGAGCACGGCAGTGTGCCGTAAATCGTAATGTTGTTAGCGTAGAAGAGGTAATAATTACGCATGTTAAGATAAGAGGATCAACTTAAATCGCGTTTGTCACATGTCATGTCTTGACCAATAATTTTCTTTATGGGTATGCTTCATTGATTAACGGACAAATTTTGTAAGATGGTGGTCATCGGGTCATTTTCAGTACGGCACACGACCCCGCTGTTAAAACTTGCTCGAGGTTAAAATAAGAATTAAGCTTTTACAAAAAAGGGTGTGTCAGTGTATAACCGTTGCAATATAATCGTGTTAGAAGAATGTCGGTCCATTGATGACCTGTCATTGCCAAACAGTCAAAGATTAGGCAAAATGATACAAAAATGCAATAACTCCAGGAAGTATGCATCACTGTCAAGCTTCTGCATAATACTGATTAGTGTAAAATGCAAGCTTCACAATCGACTTGGATTTGTCTGCACACTTGGGCAGGACTTTTTCACCAGGGGGTACATGCATTTCACAAAGCAACGTTGACATTGGATGTCAAAAAATCACGACTCTTGTTGTGAAAATGATTTAAGACGTTGAGTAAACTAAAGCAGGTGATAATTGTTACAATGTTTAATGTTTGAGATGAATTAATTCAGATTATTGTTTTATTTCTTTTAACTTTAATAACTTAAACAAATAATATAAATCCTTTAAAATATCATAAAAAATACTGTCAAAGATGATGAATGTGTTTTCATTTTGATACGATAACATGAAAAATAGATTGTTTAAGTAATAGAAATCATCCACATATCAAAGATGCAATTCTTCAATTTATTGCACTTATACACTCGCACGCTTTTCAACTGAGCTGTTTTTAATTTACTTGAGAATGTGAATAAATCTGAGGACTTTCATCGAAATCTGTTCATGAATTTGAATAAAATGGTTTGCGTTCAATTATTCTAAATATGTTGCGTATTTCTTTACTATGAAGCCCCATTAATAACATTAGTTTAGACAATTTCAATATTTTTACGGGAGTTTTAAATTATTAATTGAAGAACACATCTGTCAAGATTGTCAAATTCCTCCTTGATTTTAGAAAGTGGATTTAAACTTTCCGAAAAAGGCGTAAATTAATCCATTAAAGATGTACTTGAACTGCGCTTGATAAGTCGCTCTCCGTTATCCTTTATTGTATAATCATTGCTGTAGGGAGCGAGGCTCGGGAAACTCGGGTTTTCATTTGATCATTGACAAATTGACAAAACATTGAAAGTTATTTAATTAATTCTGGTTTGAATTGAGGTGAAATATGTAACAGTTTAACAGTTTGGCCCACCCCTAAATTGTTCTTGTATTATTATAAAAAAAAAGGTCATTTTTAAAAAAAGCTATTCTTCAAAAAGTAAAAAATGTCATAAGTTAAATAAAAAAACTAAAAGAAACTTCTTTGTGATGATGTTATTGATTGAAAACAACCAGTTAGTATTCTTATCTTCAAATAATCTCAGAAATTCATCAAATAAAATTGTAAAATAGCATGTTCTGCATGGGTATTTAGTCACAAACAAAAGCATGAAATAAAAAAATTATCATTATCATCAATATAAAAAAAAGTCCTCTGGTGTTGATATTGTACCCAACATTCTTTTTTTAAGGATCTTGTGAATTAATACACAACCCCAGCATTATAATGTTCCCTCATTATTTTGATAAACTTCAAAAACAGGACTCAAAAGTCAAGTTCAGATAAGTTGCTTGCTTTTTAGAACCTGTAAAGCTTACTATATATAAATAATGTTTAGCCCTGAATTACAAACTAAACTTTTCCATGTTTCAATCCGGACTTAACTATTCCTTATTTTTTAAGGAAAATTTCAAAATATGTATTGACTGAATAGCTAACAGTGTAGACCATGATGAAACAGATCTTTGTTGCAAGATTAGATCCAATTTTTCCCAAAAAAGCTCATGTCTTAACCCTTTCACTGCCAGAGGG